TCTACCCATCTGACAAAGGGCTGATATCCAGAATCTACAAAGAACTAAAACAGATCTACAAGAAAAAACAAGCAAGCCCATTCAAAGGTGAGCGAAGGACATGAACAGCCACGTTACGGAAAATTTTTATTGAACTAAGCACTAAGTGAGAGTTTGACCAAAATATATAGGGATTTATTAAGATAAAATTTAAGAATCATACACAATTGGTTTATTATATAGAAAACTTTCAGCTATTTAAGACCAGTTATGTGGAACAAAATGATCTAAAATAGCCATATTGGTATTACATAAAACAGGTAATAAAATCAAGATTCTCGTTTGCATAAATTACTCAAAGGCCTCTAATAAACATGACCTTGGAACTTCCCTCAGCAGAGGAAGCAAAACAAAGAGAGAGCTTTTAAACAATGGCATCAAATGAATGCAATTATTACAGTGTCCATTTATATAATGTTTGATAGTGCATTTGTTTCTAAAATAAACGCATGGCAAATGTAAGAAAAACAAGCCAAAATAATGTAGTGTTTAAGAGTACGAGTCCTTTAGTGAGGCTGATCTTGGTTTAAGCCTAAGATCTGCCACTTATGATTTGTGTGAGCTTGGTCAAGTCGTGGGAACAATAATAGTACCTGCCCAAAATGGTCATTGGGAGATTTGGGTGAGATTATATATGTAAAGAATGTAGAGTTGTGGCTGTCACATAGTGACAGTTATTACATATTAGCTCTTGTGGTTGTTTATTATACCATCCCTTTTTGTCAGTGACTGTGACCCATAAGATAAAACACAAAACTAAGGTTAACGAAATGCAGAATTTAATCTATTTTTCTCTATAAACCATCTTTCACCATAGTCCCTTCTCAAATAGAACAATAGTACACTTCCTAATGTCTGGGTGACATTAGAAGAATCAGTCTGTAATCTAATTGAAAGTTGCTACAATTTTAATTTAATACATCATTTTAATTTGATTTTCTTCAAATTCCTCATTCTGCTGTGTCTGATAATTCATTCCTGCAGAGACTGCAGAATTACTGTAAATCATTTACTCGATTTTGGTGTACATAATATTGTCATTCATATCACTTTATTCTTCTTAAAGATGGCATTCTCTACCATCATGATACCCCTTCTAACTACATTTTTCCAAAGATGACAGGAAAGCAAGATTATAGCAAACAACTGCTAATGGATTACATGTCAACAGATAGGAATTACAAGAATTGATACTGCTCTATGTTCTCTGGATTTAACTGATTCTGTACTATTCCAAGTAAAACATTATCCAAAATTTATCACTTCTATAACATGATATGTTATCAGCCTACTCTGATTTAAAAAATATATATCTGCCTTATTTTTAATGAACATTCAACTAACTCAACTTTAAAGTATCTTTTATTGTTATTACCAAGTTTGGAATTTTTCAGTACTGTCAAAGTGACCTTGTTATCTCATACATTATGAATATAGTCATTTATGCTACTAGGTGCAAATCTGATACTAGATTATGATGAAAGAATTATCAAGATAAGAACGAGTGGACAGGCATGGTGGCTCACGCCTGTAATACCAACACTTTGAGGGGCTGAGGCAGGTGGATCACAAGGTCAAGAGATGGAGACCATCCTAGTCAACATGGTGAAACCCCGTCTCTACTAAAAATACAAAAAATTAGCTGGGCATGGTGGCGCGTGCCTGTAATCCCAGCTACTCAGGAGGCTGAGGCAGAATTGTCTGAACCCAGGAGGCGGAGGTTGCGGTGAACCGAGATCGCGCCATTGCACTCCAGCCTGGGTAACCAGCGCGAAACTCCGTCTCAAAAAAAAAAAAAAAAAAAGAATGAGTATGTCTGTTAACTTCAACACAAATGAGTGTATTCCACAGGAGCTATTTTGACCTGAAGTGGATGAGTACGTTTGCCTCAGACTAGAGTAATTTCATGTATTTACAGCTTACATTTAGAGCACTTGGGATAATTATAGACATAGTACTAATTTAAGATAAATGACCAGGGAATCAAGAAAAGAAATACATAGATAATGAAATTTTCTTTATGAGAAAATTCATATTATAGAGAATTGAAAAACTATTGTTATAATAAAAGTACTAACTTATTCTGTATTAACATATATAAAATAAATGGTTTAAGGTCTTATTCTTTGAAAAATTTCCCCAACTTTTCCAACTTTCTGGCCCTCAATTAAACGCATGAAATATAAAAAAGGAGTCTAAAATGAGTTGGTTTTAACAAAGCATTATCTGTGCATGAGATGAAAAAATTTCTCTCCCATTTTACCTCTCCAATCATCACTTTTGAGTCTTAGAATAAAGCACTTTATTTTAGGTCTTTTAGCATCTGACTCCACAACCAATAACTCCTAGATTCGTCCTTGGAAGTAGTCATGACTCAGAGCTGGGTTGGAACCCTGCCTCTTCTCACTGGAAACACCCAAGGCACATCCCAGTTTCATTACTGAGCTAGGAATTGGCCCAAAATAACAGATTAAAGCAAAAACTAGCTACTAAGCTGAAAATACCTAACCAACTACTGATTGCTTAAAGATATTCATTTATTTTTCTTGAGACAAAGTTTCCCTCTTGCTGCCCAGGTGGGAGTGCAATGACATGATCACGGCTCACTGCAACCTCCACCTCCCAGGTTCAAGTGATTCTCCCACCTCAGCCTCCTGAGTAGCTGGGATTACAGGCACCTGCCACCACGCATGGCTAATTTATATATGTATTTTTAGTAGAGGTATGGTTTTACCATGTTGGCCAAGCTGGTTTCGAACTCCTGACTTCAAGTGATCTGTCCGCCTCAGCCTCCCAAAGTGCTGCCTTTTTAAAGATAATTTGAATCAAGCCATGGTTCTTGGCTTGGAAATAAGCTAAGTGAACTTGTAGCTCAGTCGGCAAAGTACATCCTCAGGTCCAGGGTGAATGAAAGCTTATGAGAAATGTAATAGGCTTGGTTTTGGCTGTGAGCAACACAGCTACAAGTTGGATTTGCCCAACAAGAAGACAGTGGCTTTCTTTTCAGCTCTTTTTAGCCCCCAGTGTTAGTATTCAGCCTGCAATTTTCACTATCCAGAGATGTTTAAAAGATAGAAAATCATGATCAGTGAAAAAACATAAGGGTATGCCCAAGCTAAAGATGCAAGATATTAATTTGTCTAATTTGCCAAAAGACATTTAAATATTACTGGGTCTGTTTTGCTGAAATATTTGTATATATTTTAAACTCATTTCAAGTACTTTTTTGTTTACCCAAGCTAATTACTTTCATTTAATTATGCTCCATGTTTCTAACTCACTCAAGCTTTTCAGTTATATTACAGTTTTCCTAATATATAGAATAATATTTTATAGTCTGGGAAGTGAAACGAGACTATCTGGCTCAACCGATGTCACAGATTTACGCAACAATGTTTTCAGATGGCAAATGTTTATGAGGTTCGCTTAGGTGTGTCCATTCCCTTAGAGTTCAATTCTTGTCATGTTCTTTCCTTATACTTAGCTCTTTTGGAAGTGCTCTGGCTTTTATTTTATTATGTAAAAGATTTTCCGAAGTTCTGTTTGGCCTACTTCATTACTCAGCTTCACTTTACATGTCCTCATTTTTGAACTTGTTATTCTCTGTGGACAAAGTTTTTGACATCTGCTTTTCTTTAATAATAAAAATGTTATGCATCCTGGAATGACTCATACCATAATTTACTCATGTTCCTTACTTTGTTATAGGAATTACATGGGCAGACCAAGGACATCATACGACCAATTTTTTTTCAAGTAACTGAAGTCTCATGGTCCTAACAGTCTCCTGTCTCAATAGAATATTTTTGGATTCCATCTCTTCTCTCTCTTTTTAAAAATGCTCTCAATGTCATTGTGTTTATTATAGAACCAATAAATACCTAGCTATAGCTATAACCATATATGCACAGTTATAACTATAACTGTTTATAGCTGTAAGTTGTAACTTTTTCTATAGCTAAAAAAATGGAGATCTCTCCTGCCCAGAAGTATTTGATAAATTCTAGAAGAGGCATCTCCAATTTATGTAATTCATAAAAATATGTTCACATGGTTAATGTTAAATGATTTATTATTTATTCAGAATTTTATTGTTTGCTTATTTATTTGTAGAAAAGTCAAAAGAGAGGGGGAAATTTGGAACATAGTGGCAAATGTTACTTTATCACACATAAATCTATAAGTATTAAATGAGAAAGACAGCATCTTATTTTGACAAAGAGTTTAAAGGCATATCAAACTTCTAGCACACCAATCCTCACTGATTATTGAACAACGAATAAAATATCATCTTTCAAACAGAAAGAAGACTCAGAAGGTTATTATCCTCTATTATTAGTCTTTGCTAATTCTTCAGTTAGCTCCAAGGAGTTAAAAGACAAAGTCTGGAGCTTTTATCATCAATTCCAACTGATGCCATTTGGTGTCATAGAGAAGTACAAGCTTTCCAGGAACAAGGCTCAATTGGCAGCAAGGAATGATCAATGATGAATTTATAAAACCCACCGAAGCATCTGGTAGCAGCTTCAGGATAATGGCAGTAAGTGATATGCAGCCAGGTGACAGGTCCCTTTGCATTCCTAAAGTTCAGAAGGTGGTAAAGGAAGTGGAAGGAATAAGGGCTTGGAATGACGCCCTACTGCGTGTTTTCAGGACAGCTTGTCATGCTACATAATAGGAAGAGACAAACAGGGAGAGGAGGCAATTTGGATCCAAAGGGTTCATTCAGGGTAAGTAGAAAGAAACAGCCACTAAGATTTTATTTGTGTTATTTCACTGCTTTCTTTCATTATCTTTCCCTTTAATTTTCCCTTGCAGGTTCCCAAATGATCACATTCCCGGTCCCAGTAGTAACATGCCTGTGGAAGTAGAAGATGGATGCTGAGTCAAACTCAGAATCCCAGCTTCCTCAGTAGGAGGCCTTGCATGGCTTTTCAGCAGCTCCCTGAAAAGGCAAAGTCCTGAGGAGGGCACCTGGCTTTCCCCCCGTCTTTGCTGCTAGGTCAAAGATCCGTGCTTATCTAACTCACCTGATTTCTGAATCATGGTTTGAGAAGCCTGGCTCTGTGGATCTCCTGGTGTTATTTTCCTAATAGTGATTTCCTAAGGTCACAGCTTCCTTGTAATTGATTGATGTGAAAGAACAAACGTGCTTCTATTTCAAACATATTGGAGACAGATTCGACGCCGCACCATGAGCTTTCAACGGAAAACCAGACTGACAAAGATTCTGCTCTCCCGAGGCTTACATTGTGGTGGATTTAAAAAGTTGTTTCTCAACATTTCGCGCTGTACCCATCACCAGCTCTGCCCAGGGCGAGGCGCCTTGATGCTTGAAGTTCATTGTGCAGGCAAAGGAGAACACTGTGTCTCCAAGGACCCTTGTAAACTGGCGGCCAAAATTTGAAAGAACATAAATCGCAGGGCAGCAGCGGAAGAGGCTGGGGTCTCTGGAGGTGACTTCTATTAGCGTACGGGCGAAGTCAGGGGACCTAGCCGGAGCCTGAAAACTTTAAGCCAAACAAACTGAGATCATATCTCCCTCCCGCCACCTCCCTCCGACTAGCCACTACCGCCGCCCAGGGACCGCTGCCCCGGGGTGAACTGGGGAAGGCAGTGGGGATCGGAGAAGACGGACTCTGCTTTCGCTCCCCTTTCTCCCCCATCCCTAACATGGGCTTTGCACTGGAGCGCTTCGCAGAAGCCGTGGACCCGGCTTTCGAGTGCAAGCTGTGCGGCCAGGTGCTGGAAGAGCCGCTGTGCACGCCATGCGGGCACGTCTTCTGCGCCAGCTGCCTGCTGCCCTGGGCGGTGCGGCGGCGCCGGTGCCCGCTGCAGTGCCAGCCCCTGGCGCCCCGCGAGCTGTACCGGGTGCTGCCGCTGCGCAGCTTCATCCAAAAGCTGCGCGTCCAGTGTGACTACCGCTCCCGCGGCTGTGGCCACTCCGTCCGGCTGCAAGAGCTGGAGGCGCACGTCGAACACTGCGACTTCGGACCTGCCAGCCACCTCCGCAGCCTCGGGGGCTGCGCTTCGGGGCCGGACAGTGGGGAGGTGCCGGCGCGGGAGGGCTGCGGGCCGGCACCAGGGGCCGGCTGGGGCGGGGGCGCTCGCGGGGGGCCGCCGGGCGGCCTCTGTGGCCGCGGGCGGGGACCCAGGCCTCGGGTACTCGCCTGGAGGCGGCGCGAGAAGGCGCTGCTGGCGCAGCTGTGGGCGCTGCAGGGCGAGGTGCGGCTCACTGCGCGCAGGTACCAGGAGAAGTTCACGCAATACATGGCTCACATCTGCAACTTCGTCGGGGACCTGGGTGGCGGACACCGCAGGGTAAGCAAAGGGGGGTGGGCGCCCCAGGCATGGTCGATTTGGGTGGGAAGAGGAACAGTTCTTTCCTACACTTCAGGATCCCTTTGGAATGGGGCATCCTTTCTTACTATACAGCAGGAAGCATCCATGCCCTAATCATAAGTTCCTGTCATTATCTTGCGAATGGATTGGCATTGAAGTTAAAGATTGTGCCCTTTCTACTTATATTACGATTGGAAAGAGTTAAACAGATTGGATTCTAACTTTCCCCTGGGAACGTGGAATTGGAAAAACTCATTTTCCATCCAGACTCTCGTTCTTCATCTTTACCTTCCTGCCCACTGTCTCTGCCTAATTTTTGAACCTTTGTCCTGTGCCTGAAGCAAATACAAGAAAGAAAGCAAACACTTCCCCCTGCCCAGGCTTCCTTCCCCTGCCCGCGGGGATCCGCGGCCCCTGGCAGCGGCACCCACAGGAGCCCTGTCACTGCTGGTGACACTTGCCCTGCCACTGCCTGCATCCACTGCCTTCTGATAAGTTGGGGACTGTGAGGCATGGTGGGACCAGGACAGCCTCAGGAATTGAGAGAATGAGAGATGGGGGTTCTTAGACCTGCAGAGTTCTTTTCATCATCCTGACTTTCCCTAAATAAGCCTTCCTTGCCTCAGGATCTCATTATCGGTATGGAGAGAAAGGTGCGGGGGTGGGGTGGGGGGTTGTGTGTGAGACCTGGAAAGTCCAGTTCGAGAGCCTTCATCTGTGGTCAGACCGGCCCTGAGAGCCCCCAGACAGCGGCTGTTTCCCTTCTTTGTCGAAGCTTCTGGCCCCAAACTGCACTCCTGGACCGCCCGCTTTCAGACCGAATAAACAAGCCTCTTTGCAGCACCCCGTGTGAAGAAGCTTGTTTATAAAGCTGTTACTTCTCTCCTGGAGGACTTCTGCACAGTGTTTGACATTGTTGGTCGCTGCCATGGTGAGCAGGGATTTAGCAGAATTTGCGCTCCATTCAAGGAGCTGTTTTCATTCTTCAGCACTCCCGGGGAGGAGCAACCCAGAAAGATTCCCATTTGGGACTGGCTGCTCCACACTGCCTCCAACTCAGGCACTGAGTTTAGAAGCGCAGACTTAAACCTAAAAGAGAAAATTGTAGTGTGAGGGACTAAAGTGTTTCTACCTTGATGAATGGACGGGCACCGTGTACTAAAAGACTAGTTTCAAGGGTTCTTTCTCTAGTGCATAGATGCATATACATATATGCATATATACAGGTAAATTTACAAAATGGGAGGACCCAGGGAAAAGCACAGATAGAAGCTTTGCATTACCAGTCCAGGTTTCAAGGTCGCAGGAAACCAATGATTGAAGGAAAGGAGCAACGGCTAGAATAATATGACAGAAAACCCCATGCAGCAAGTCAAGCTACGATCCTGAGAAGTGAGAAAACTGTCCATGATTTGCAGATTAGCCAAAACCTCTGTGTTCCCCAGAAATGTTTTTCTACTACCAGTAGGGGCTGCTGTGTGCACTGCCTGGGAAAAGCTCCTGGGAAAATATCGTGATGCTGATAGTGATGATAATGCTTATGGAATGTTATCATTCAGAAGTAATTTCTAAGCAAAAGTTAATAACATCTATAACCATGAATAAAACCCACCTAGTCCAGCGCTAATTCATCCTATGTTCAAGTTAGTCTTTATTAATAAACATTGCAGATATAATTCCTATTTGTTTTACGATTATTTGGCCAGCCAAAAAATAAATAAATAAATACTACTTTACCTAGCACAAATTCTCTCTTTCTATTCTTCAGGAATTATGCAAAACCAAGTAGGAATATTATTTAAAATTAGGACTACAGTAGCCTAATAGATCCTGCATTACAACAGCAACATGAATATTATTTACAAATAGTTGTCTTTTTAAATTCCGTTAAGACTTTACAAAATAAAAATTTTACGCTATTGATAATTTATATTTTACTTTTCCATAATGGAGGGAAAAATAAAGATAACTCCAAGGTTTAACCAGAAATATGTTTTCAATTACAGTGAAATCAGAATTAGATGCTGCATTAGGATAAAAGTGCTGCCTGTCTCAAAATGCAAAGCCATTTAGTAATTTTTGAAAATAGGGTTTTTTCCCCTCACATGCACAGTTGTTCTTTTTCAAATACATACTTGCAAAGTAAGTATAGAAAGATCTCAACCTTTTGCCACATTCAACCATCCTTAATTTTAAGGTTTTCCTCTTTTCATGTCAGTTAACTCATGGTACATAAAAACTCATTGTAGCATTTATTTTTCTTTCTTTTATATTTTTACCTAGTGATTTTCTACATTTTCTTGTAGGATGGAGAAAATAAGCCATTCACTATTGTGTTAGAAAGAGAAAATGATACTTTGGGATTCAATATTATAGGAGGTCGACCAAATCAGGTAAAACACCTTGTTAATGTATTACTCATTACTTATAAAAATAAGCATTACTCATTGCTTATAAAATAATAGAGAACTTAGCTTTTGTTTGTGGATTTTGAGTAAGAAAAACAAGTGGTTTAATCTTTAAAATTATTCTTGTGATCAAATATCAGATTTCATAATGCACATATTCCAGTACATACTCAGATTTTATTTTGTTTGTTAGTTTGTTTGAGACAAAGTCTCAGTCTGTCGCCCATGCTGGAGTGCAGTGGTGCAATCTCAGCTTACTGCAACCTCCACCTCCTGGGTTCAAGCGATGCTCAAGTAGCTGAGATTACAGGTGCCATTATCATGCCCAGCTGATTTTTTTGTATAGACAGGGTTTCACCATGTTGGCCAGGCTGGTTTCGAACCCCTGACTTTACGTGATCAATTCGCCTTGGCCTCCCAAAGTGCTAGGATTACAGGCATGAACCACCACTCATGGCACAGATTTTACTTAAAAATTTTTTTTATTATTATTATTTTCTTTTTGAGACAGAGTCTCGCTCTGTGACTCAGGTTGGAGTGCAGTGACGTGATATCAACTCACTGCAACCTCTGCTTCCTGGTTCAAGTGATTCTCCTACCTCAGCCTCCTGAGTAGCTGAAATTACAGGAGCATGCCACTACGCCCAGCTAATTTTTGTATTTTTAGTAGAGAAAATACAAAATGTTGGCCAGGCTGGTCTCAAACTCCTGACCTCAAATGATCTTCCTGCCTCACCTCCCAAAGTGCCTGGATTACAGGTGTGAGCCAGTGTGACCAGCCTTTATTTTGAGAAAAACAAAAAAACAACAGCTAACAAACTTGGTTCTCTTTGCTACTTTAAAAGGAGAAGAGTACCGTTCACATTTTATCTAAATTATGTAGTCCTTTTGGCAAATTTCTTGAATAAACCTATTTTACAATAGTTGTGCAGGCAATTTCTATTTGATAATATTAGGCAATTGTATTGCCTGGTTAAACCTTTTATTTATTAAGTCAGATTACTCAGTTTGAAGATACTAATACAGACTAGGAAGAAAATAATATATATTGACTGAATGATAAACAGTTGAAATAAGGGATGATTGATTTCAATAGAACTACCAGATTAAGGAAAAACAGTTGATGAGAAATATTTTTGGCTCCCCAAACAGGTTCTTTGTTTGATTGAATGAATAATATTCTCTATGTTGATGCCAATTGTTTTCAAAGTGCATATGATAAACTTATATAATATACTGTAGTTGCAAAGTTCTTTTATATCCTTGAACTTTTGTGTCAACCTAATTTTCACCATAACTGGGAAAAGGTGGTTAAGTTTTATGCTCTTTAATTTTCTCAATAAACTGCCATGAAATTTTTGCATACTGCATTGCAGATGTTGTTCAAGGAAACTGTCTTAATGTTGTTGGCCATATGCTCTGTTTAGGTAAGGATGGCAGTGACATATTTCTTCCTTGTGTTTAGTATTTTGAAAACCTAGCAACTAATGACTGTTGTTGCTTCCCTTTTTAAAACAGTCATCATTTATTAAGATAAAAGTCTTTTTATTACATCATTTTTGTTATCATTTTCCCTAAGGAATATTTTATAAATTCTATTTCAGTATTTGACATTTAGGTGACATTGGACCTTTTTAAAAAGCCTCTTGAAATTCAAGACAAGGACAGCTAAAGAGAAATAATTTTATTTAACCTGCCATGAAGCCAAATGACACTTAAAATTATATGATGTATTATTTTAGGATGTTGGATATTTTCCCTAAATAAGTTTTGGCTTCTTGTGACTGGCTAAAATGTCCTATTTCTACCATATTGGCTATGTTTGAGGTTTAAACATGAGGCACATAGCACCTGGAAATGTGTAAAGATTGGCTTTGGGTGGGTTACCTTCTGCATAGGTTCCCTTGCAGTTTAGATGCCATCTTTTGGGATTTTACACTTGAGTAAGGGTACCAGACTCTCCTGTTAGTAGGCACAGCTAGAGCCATGTTTCTAAATCCATCATATCAGAAAGCTAAATTATGTTTTCAAAACTCTGACCAAATCTCAAACCAGCTATGCAGTGGAAACCAGATACTTGCTTTTTCTTCTGTAACCTTATCACCCTTCTACTTGCTACATCTCTTTAGAAGTGAGATGTTTTATCAGTAATACTTAAAACCAGTTTATTTACCTTGTACATGCCCTTTCCCACAGCTTTTTGTGAGCTCAGAAATGTGAAGTAAATAGGCAATCTTGTCAGAGACTCTGGACTCATTTATTAAAACTGCCATCTTGATTAATGACTAGTTGGTGTTAAGTCAGGGAAAATTCTGTGCCAAATCCCCGGCTAAGAGAGTTGCAGGCTTAAGGAGGATTGGAAATGTTACATTTGGTAAATTGTCCTTAATAATATTTAAATTTTGCTTACATCTTTCTTCTGCTAATGATTTTTTTATATAGAATAATCAGGAAGGAACATCAACTGAAGGGATTTATGTTTCAAAAATTTTAGAAAATGGACCTGCCGACAGAGCAGATGGCCTGGAGATTCATGACAAAATCATTGAGGTAAGACAATGATAAAACATGTGTATGATCCATGAAATAAAGATTTGGATATTTTAAGTTTCCAAACTTATCGCTTTACCTTGGTGTGCTGCTTATTTGAATGCACGCACGCACACACACACACACACACACACTGCTTTTACTGCCATATGTGTGTGTGTGTATGTGTGTGTGTGTGTGTGTATGTGGCAGTAAAGGCATTTTTTTTACTTATTCGTTTTTACTTTCTTACAAAAAATGTAAAACTCACTAGGAGATGTGGCTCATGCCTATAATCCCAGCACTTTTGGTGGCTGAGGCAGGAAGATCACTGGAGCCCACGAGTTTGAGACCTGCCTGGGCAACAGAGTGAGACCTCATCTCTGCAAAAAACAAAACCAAAAATGGTCCCAGCTACTAAGGAAGCTGAGTTGGGCATATCACTTGATGTCAAGCCCAGGAGCTTAAGGCTGTGGTGAGTTGTGTGTGGGCCACTGCTCTCTAGCCTAGATAACAGAGCAAGATGCTGCCTCCCAAAAGATACAAAACTCTATTATGATTCTATATAATTTATTAGATATTGTGATAAAAGAATAAAACACCTGAAGTTTCCAAATGTGTTAATTGAATACCTCTGTTTTAATAACTTGTGTTTCACATGAACTGTGGTGACACTGGCTTGATTATTAAAGGATTAATTATCATAACATTTCAAAAAAGGATGATAAATCTCTGTTGAAGAACATTTCTGATGAGGATCTATCATTATATTTTAAACTTGTGGTTCATATGTTATATGTAGAGTTTAGAATAAATTATACAATACCTTTAATATTTCTTACTATAATATGGTTACCTTGTTTATGCCATTATCTTTTTATATGAAAGAAAAAGGGAAATACCTTTTTTTTCTCTTTGTTATGAAAACCTGGTGAGAACTCTTCATTTGCCCTAGTGTATGTTGTAACTGTATTGTTGTTTCTGAGGTGATAAAGTGAGCACCTATATGCTAGTAAAGTTGGGTTATGATAATGAAATTTTATGTCCCTGCCATCTGCCATCTCTGACCTTTTGACATTTCATTAACTGATTAAGATAGTATTACTTGCTGTTACCAAAAATGATTAAGTTACTTTTATCAGTAGGTTTATTTATTTACAATGTATTAGTAAAGGTATAAATAGGAATTTGGAAGGTTTACTTGACTCTAATATTCTTTTTTTTTTTTTTTTTTTTTTTTTTTTTTTTTTGAGACGGAGTTTTGCTCTTGTTACCCAGGCTGGAGTGCAATGGCGCGATCTCGGCTCACTGCAACCTCCGCCTCCTGGGTTCACGCAATTCTCCTGCCTCAGCCTCCTGAGTAGCTGGGATTACAGGCACGCGCCACCGTGCCCAGCTAATTTTTTGCATTTTTAGTAGAGACGGGGTTTCACCATGTTGACCAGAATGGTCACGATCTCTTGACCTCGTGATCCACCCGCCTTGGCCGAATCTAATATTCTTTAAAAATTCTGAGGCCGGGCGCGGTGGCTCAAGCCTGTAATCCCAGCACTTTGGGAGGCCGAGGCGGGTGGATCACGAGGTCAAGAGATCGAGACCATCCTGGTCAACATGGTGAAACCCTGTCTCTACTAAAAATACAAAAAAAAAAAAAAAAAAAAAAATTAGCTGGGTGTGGTGGCGCATGCCTGTAATCCCGGCTACTCGGGAGGCGGAGGCAGGAGAATTGCCTGAACCCAGGAGGCGGAGGTTTCAGTGAGCCGAGATCACGCCATTGCACTCCAGCCTGGGCAACAAGAGCGAAACTCCGTCTCAAAAAAAAAAAAAAAAAAAAAAATTCTGTTTCTTCTACTCTATATAATCACTAGTGCCATCTTTCTGAATATTTGTATAAACTATCAGCATGAAGGCAGATTTTCTGTATTAAATTTTGAACAAAGTTTTAGATTTTCATTCATCCTCTGTGCACTGAAGAAAGTTGAAATTTTAATGAATTGACATAGAGCAAGAGTGAAGAATATAGAAGAGCCAATAGTTTGCTGCTTTGGGGAAAAAGAACATAACATTTATAAATTAGCTGATTAGACAATTTAGAAAAAACAGGAGAGTTATCTTTTGCTAAAAAACTGTGGTTTATATCTAAAGAAGTCTCTTGTATTAATATTTTATTCTTCCAGTTTTGCTGCCAAGAAAGTTCATAGCTACTTTCACTGTTGCTATCCAATTTGTCTTGACAATTTGTTTAGTGGAAACATTCACATGCTGTAGCTTCTAAAGTTAGAATGTGTACAGTATGATTTAAAGTGCCACATAATTTAAACAGAAGATTGTGCCTATTGCTTTCTGCATTACCTCAAAAACATATTAAGTTATCCAGTTACCAATGGAAAATAAAGTCCTACATTTAATATTATTAGAAGAACTGATGGTACTGAATACATATATTGTTACACAAACACACAGACACAACAGAAACATGTACTGGCAATTTAAAAAATAACTTATTCTAGTAGGTGATGATGTTATGTATGTTTCATTAATGTTACATTAAAAGAGAAAAAGAATTATTTTTATATTGTGATACAACACTTTGGTTAAAAACCTATCGGTTTTGTTAAAGAGGTAGTTTTATAAAACTATGGTTGAGAAATCAAGTGCATCTTGACACTTATATAGTACTGTTACTAATATATGTCAAATTAACCTTATTTAAATGCTGTAAGATAAAAAAGTAAAGAGATCAATCACAGAAATTCAAATGAAATTTAGCTATGGTATTATTATTCACTTTGCTTTGCATATGTTAGCAGTTAATGACAAACGCTTGAAATTTGTCTCAATGATACAGATTTTTCAATGTATCTTTTATACCAGGGTACATTTATTTTATGTATATATGCTAGTGTTCTAGAATTGATCAGTGTGACCACATTTGCAGGTGAGAAATGCCGTGGATGATGTACATATTTGTAGAATGTTGTGTGTTAAATACATGAAATATTTTAGAAGAAAGATTATTAGAAAAACTCTCTCTTGCTTAGTTATTCAGTGGTGTTATCAGCTTTTTGAGTGAATAGACATTTGTGTGACTTTAATATCTAGTTAAAAAGTAGCGTATTTTTTCTTGAGCATACATGTGTGTTGTGAAAGACCCAAATGTACCTATTAAAGAAATAGTTTATGCTTGTCAATTATTTTAGTTTCTCTGTCATTATGATATCAATCAACTTTAAGCCATTTTTAGCTAATGGGAAACTGAGAAGAAATATATCAATTTAAAATGTGAGGATGCATATTTTAAAACAGATTTTTAGAGTAAAGAGAATAATTTCTGTTTTGTGTTCAATGATTTATTCGTTGAACAAATTTAATGGATCAATTTTTGAATTTCAAATGTTTGACTTTTGAGTGCTAGGCTCCTGAGAAGGAAAATAAGGCCACTTCATATTACTGTGCAGCTTACACACAGCACAATTGGATTTGGTGTCCCCATCTGAAGGTCTAACTGTGGTTCCCATTCTCCTCATCATTCCGTGCTATGAAAATCTCATCAGAACACCCGTAAGATTATTTTGATTCATTTTTAATTGTAATCCAAAGTAGCTTGCAGGTAAAATTCCAAATGGGGCTATCACGTTCTGGTTTTTGCCCTTCTTTTCTATCTTTCTAGCATCTTAGGCACCTAGCATCTTCTTTCTCTCTTTCTTGTTCCTCTGCAACATTTGTTGTCAGGAAAGAAGATTCTTACAGTCACTTGTACTATTTGAACCATATACGTTTGCTCCATCATAGTATCCAAACTTTAACTACAGATAATGCCTTAATGACACCTAAGCTTATATCATTTTCACCTGGGGCTGCACAGTAGCTTCTTAAGCAAACTTTCCTTTCTTCCAGCCTCTGCTGTCTGTAACTCCACTTGTTTCCTGCCCTCAGCAAAACTTGTCATTGTTTCGCTCCTTTGCTTAGGAACCTTTATTGGCATTATATTTTCAATAGGTTAAATTCAGGTTTTCCTTGTGAAGCAAACATGACCTTTAAAAACCTTTGTGCATTTTTTTTTAAACCCTATGATTGTCTCATGAAACTCATCCATTTTCCTATCAACAGGCCTCTCTGCTTTTACTTATTGTTTTCTATCTTGTATTCTGTCCCATGGCCTTATGTAGCTGACAAACTCCTTTGTATCCTCAAAAATCCTCTACTCCTGGAAGCCTTTTGCAATCCACTAAGCAATATTATCTTTTCTTTTTTGTTGTCTAAAGATCTTTATACCTCTCACTTTCATAGCATTTTCATGTATTATGGTATATATTTATTTTTAGATCTTCTTTACCCCCAACAAATGTATGGGTTTCTTAGAAGTTGTTTTGGTATTTTATTGAACTTACTATCTTCAGCACCTCTTTTGCTCTCAGCATTGTGCCTGGGAAACTTTAGACATTCTGTGAATTTTCTTTGAATGGTGGACTAAATGAGTGGATAAATCTCAAGATCAAGTTTTAGGCATTATGGTATGGATCCAAGGGTTTTTCAACATCCCTGAAATCTTGCCTGGTGGGCAGTCCCCAAAGGCTCTCCTGTGGCATCCGATTTCTTCTCACCATATATTTATTACAAGATCAATCAGAAGTTGAAATACTTATTGTTTCTTAAGTTGTGAGATCTTGAAAATCTAGCCACAATGGATCAATGCAATTATATCTTTCTAGACTGTTTCTTATAGTCTGTAAATCAAGAAAGAACCTAAATCTACAAGGCAATGTTTCAAATTCTGTTCATGTAAATGCTTGGATGGGATCTGAAGACATGTGTGCTCACCTTCACCTTCATGAAGAATGTTAGTTATTGAACTTGAACGGCCATGATAAAGCTGCCTGAATATATGTGCTTGCCTGCAAAACAGATGTGCAGAGAAGGGCACTGGACCATATATGAAATTGAACAAAAACATGATTGACTGCAGAGGAATTAAAAAGATGAAAGATATTTCCAATGTTTCCAAGCCTTGTAAATGGTCT